AATCATCTTTTATTTATATATTTTCATCTTCCCTTGCCTCTTGGCAACACAAATTTTTGGTAGAAGTAGTGCGATACTTTTATCACTTATTGCCTGATTCTTCATTCTTCTCCATCAGTGAAAAATTATTCCTTCCACCCGTACACAAAAGCTCCGTAGTACGAATATTTATCTTTGCTTACTAATTGAGGGAAATCGTCCTCCGTGATAATTTAGAGTCAAGTTTTTCTCAGTAATCTGGTCCTTATTGTCTCAAAAGTGGTGTAAATCTTGATGACATGTTTAGTTTCCGGAATACCACAACTGGGAAATAGAAGGTTAATTTCCTTCCCAGAGATATGTATATAATCAGGGAGGCTCATTTTGCTTCCAACCCTGAATATTTTATCAAGTTCGAGTCATTACGAATAGTTACCCACCATCGATTCCGCTGCTCAATGGTTCTCCTCTCCTCCTCCCCCCCCCCTCTATTATTTGTTTCCATTTAGATGGATATGCCGCAACCCTTTCTTGGGGATTTTGGAGATTCTGGAAGACTTGCTGAGGCTTCTTTTTTAAGCATATACTTAGTCTTATCTTCTTGCAGGAGGAGGTTGAGAGGTACTCCTCTCGCTAAAACCTGCACTGCTTCATGAGCAGCAGTCCTATAGGATTTTGTTACTCGCATCATAGCCGTTTTCTGGATTGTCGCCAATCATTTTTTTCTGTAGTTGCAGGAGATTTCTATTCCAACCTGGGGACGCTCAGGATACACATTACTACTCCATAATAGATAGTCATAGTAGCCAGGTACCTGAGGTCTCAGAAGGGACCCCTCATACAACCTATTCCATTGAGGGCTAGGGTTACCCTATTTCCAAGCGAGGAGAAACATTGAATCTTTTACCGAACCTTACTCCGAGATAGGTTACTTCCTCACTTATCCCTTGTATTTGTATATTCACGACAGTAGGGGAGCCCTAGCAGTTTTATCCTTTAGAAGTATAGCTTGGGTTTTGGTGCATGCCATTTTCATCCATTTCCTCCCGCACAGTCCTCCGATAGGATTGGCGTACCGTTCAGCTGCTTCTTTCAAGCCGGCTCTGCTGCTGAGTAACCTTGCCTTAAGTTAAACAAAGCATTGGTTGTTTTAAAATTTCTAGTTGCATTTTCTTAATTAAGAATTAATTATTTTAATTTAATGCTTGATTATTTTCCTTATGTATTTACTTGGTTATATTGAGACGTAGTGTACCTCTACTACACATATGAACTATATATAGTGTGTAGTACATGTACAATAGTATGCCTCTTCCTCAGAAAACTCCTGCGAAACACTGCGCGGGAAATGGATTAATCAACTTGGAACGTCAAAGTTCTAAATAGGGTGAAACTGGAACTGATGACATGAGGCAGGCTAGATTGAATATGTTGAGAAGTGCCACTAGAAACTATGAATAATAATAAAGCTGTTTATTCGCGTGTATTTTTCTATTTTTATTTCAAAAATTATTTTAAGTATTTTGGGGTGAGTTTATTGGACCATTCAAAAGTAAGAGTTGGCATCATCTTTCATGAAACCTTTCAAAGAATAGGAAAGCAGTAAATGACAAAATATTTATTGACTGTTTGTGCCTCACACAACGACGATACATCGGCAATAAAAATAGAATCGACATTGCTAACGCTACACAAAATGGGCAAACGTGCAAACGTGAGGACATACGCACCATAATGTGAGACCAACGGTAGAGTGAGTAAAGATACGAGTAGGTGACAGGATGCTCTCTGAAAAGATGGTGAAGAATCGAGTAACGGAAAAGAGCGGATCCTTATTTTTGCAGGATAAACGAAGAAGTGATGCAATTAGAGAAGATCAGTAAGGAAAAATAATTTTGAAGTACTAAAAAAGGCTTTTTACAGGGGAGTCCGCAGTGGAAAATTAAAAATGGTTATATGGATCAAGCTCTGTCGAAATGAGGAACCACTGTTCTACCATAGAAGAGGAAAGATCAAGAAAAAGATGAAAGAATATTAGTTATAATATAATACAGCTACAGTTTACTGTACATAAACTTATTTCACTAACATCCCATGAAGGTCTTAGTTTACTGTTTGTAGGCTAACGGTTGTGCAAGGTGATTTAGCCGAGATCATGTTCAACCACCTGGTTTTCCCCTTAATCAGTGGCAGTCTTAGGGCTGGCCAACCAGGGCAACTGCCTGGGAACGCCGACCAGGAGAGACACTTGTGGGGGGGGGGGAGCATCCCTCTCCTCCTTATTAGAAATTTTAAAAAACATACAAACTAAATGAGAATAATTAATTTTAGCCTATTAACAAATCAACTGAATTAGAGATATATTGAATGAAATAAAACTCAAATATTACTGAAAATCTAACAGTTAATGAAATAAATTTAATTTTTTAAAGATCAAGTCATTCCATGGGTGTTTATAACTAGTTTAGGGCAAAAACTGTGCAATTAACCAAATGTACCAACTTTATAAAGCCTTGGTTTGCCTCAGAGGGTCTCCCGGCCTTAGGGTCGATCCACGGCTGTTCTAACAGAATAAAAGCCAGACTGGAACCCAATCCCGAGAGGATAGCCTAGATAGGTAGCGCATTGCATTTTTCAGGCAGCCCTCCTTTAACTGTACATGAACAACATAATCTTTAGGAACATTTGTAGAAATGGATCTTTCAAAAATATCTTAATACAAATAAGGAAATTAGTACCATAGCGTTTCATAGCCAAAATGATGAACTGAGAAAACAGCATAATTTTATTATGAACTTAAATGTTTCTGAAATTCTGTTTATTATGAAATAATACCAAAATTGTATCTTTTATTTTATGGAACTCAAAACAGGATATTTCATTAAGTTGAACATTTAATCGTAAAACAAGCTTTAAAAAATGATATTCAGAGTATACATACATTATTGCATTGTTATGAGGCTCAGTACATCATATTTTATGAAGACGAAAGGGAATATTAATATTATCTAAAATAATTTTTATTTGGGTTCGATGGTGAGTAGTTAACTGTTAACTAAACTAATAAATAAAAAAACTCATGAAATTTCATTCATCGGTTTTAACGTAAGTATTATTCGTAAATACTCCATCCTATTATTTATTTCTGTATGAGCTGCATGTATTCCGTTACAAATCCTCCAAGACATAAAGGATAAATCTTTTTATTATTATGTCCTCATGGTACCAAACATTTTAAGACTACACAATTACAACTACGTAAATACATGTGATGATAATATGAGTTAGTTATTGCTAAGTTCAAATTTTTATTAAATAAATTCGATAATAAAATCCGATTCTGTTTTTATCATGTGGTCCAGATATTTTTAGTTGTAAATTTATTAGTTCTTTGATTTTATAGTTTAGTGAACATCGTACTTAGCTATTGGAATAAAAATGGAGATAGACATATTTCATTAATTTCAGTTGATTACATCTAATTGATTCATTATTTTACATACTTAAAAATGCAATAAACTCTCTTTACATTTCATTTACCAACTAGTTACTGAGGATATGGCGAAAAATGTCTTATTTTACACATTAAAAAAAATCACTTGAAAAAACTGTATCTCAGTATTTTATATGGTTCGTGATTATAAATTTATCATATGACTACAAACTTACTCAAACATTTCATTTAATTTTTATTTGACAATTTTTTAAACACCAGTTGCAAAATCATAATGTAACCTATACTGTATTGGATAAAAGCACCATCAGAGTAACACTATCACTATTTTGGATCCAAATTATTTATTAATCTAGTACAATGGAGAGCCTTCAATTATTTAAAAAAATAAAGTAATAAAAAAATAAATACAAAGTAATAATCACCAGAAACTATTATTGAAGACGTGTTTTAAGGTAATGTTTTATTTTATTTTTTTCAAAGAAATTAGCGAACTAAGGTTAATATTCGAAGCAACACTAGTTAAGACAAAAACATCAACTTTTTAAAGCGGTGTTAAAACATTTCGAAAAAACGTTTCATACCTTGCAGGTGAATATAAATTCATCTTACCGAAACGAAATTATTCTTTACGCCTCCCAAAAACAATTTCTGAAAAGTAATATAGCTAGAATTAGTGTATTCTATAAAAATCGAAATTTTCAAATAAAATGCTTTAATTAATTTGAATTTTTTATCTATCAGCTATATTATGCTTTGCAATGGATATTATTTCTTGGTATTTAGTTACTAATAATCATTAATTAAGAAATTGTTAAGTTGCTAAGTGATGCCATAGATGGAATCTCAAGCAGCGAAGGATTTCTCTGCTGATTCCGAAGCGCGGTTGTTCTGGCCAATCAGAAACCTCTATCCGTTTTATGCCCATATATGGTAAGAGTAGAGACCGAGGGAGCGGAGTGGGGATGGTCGATTCCATTATGCTCTCCCCCCTCTAACCGGCTTTTGTTTAATTTAGTAACATTTACAGTTTCCTATTTTTCTATAATCCTCCCAGTTATTTGAAATTAATATTAAGAAAAAAATTACATTTACTATTTAATCGAAAACGTCTCTCGAACAATGACTATTTGAAATATTCCCTACAGGTCCTTGTAACTAACACCCCTTGATCGAAGAGTCCATTCTGAGGCTGGAAACCAACGGCTCCGTACCTCCTTCATTCCCGTCAATTCTGGTCTGGTGTACGCATTGGCTCTTGCTGTTAACGTTTTTTTTCTATAAGGTAAGGTAATTTATTTTTCAATTTTAATGTTACTTAGTGCTCAGTTATAAGCATCAGATGTATTCTACATGTGGTAGTCCAACATTTTTAATTTATACGAAAATTGAATCAAAAGACCGGCAGACAGACTTAGAATTCGAAGTAACTGTCAAAGAATCGAGAGTGTAGTATTAATAGTATCAATCTACAGGTAGTTGTTCTTTTAATAGGATTTGGGAGCATTCCAACTCTAATTCGGTAAGCCGTAACTCGCGATCTTTCTAAGCTGTTAATGTAGATGTTTTCTTCACCGTGTTGTGAGTGAAAATACGATAAACGTAATGAGAGAGGTTAAATAAGTTTTACCCCCATGTTTTTGTATCCGCAATGCTGGACTAAGTTACCATATATGGTCATGTACCATCGGGTAGCAACCACATTGGTTGGCGTGGTGGGGGAGGTGCCGGTGGGGGGAATGGTATATTACAGATTTACCCCCGGCTCTAGCAATCAGTTCTTGTTCCAAGCTCGGCTTGCTACCTCTTATTTATTTATTTAATTCCGTAAGTGTTAATTTTTATTGTATAGTGGGTGTGGTACTAGTGCAACACTACCTTGTGTCATCTGGAATTAGTGCTACTTGAATATTGTGTTAAAATTCTTTGTGTAGGTGTGGGGTGTATAGTGTTAATTTTTATTGGGCTTTAGTATTTTCTCATAGCGCTTTGAATGTTAAATTATTTAAGGAGTTGTATCGTCAATAAAAGTAATCGTTGAATCCTATTGTTCACAGCTCAATTAACCCTTAAACAAAATGTGTGACGAAGAAGTTGCTGCTTTAGTTGTAGACAATGGATCCGGTATGTGCAAAGCCGGTTTTGCTGGAGATGATGCACCCCGAGCAGTATTCCCATCAATTGTTGGCAGGCCAAGGCATCAGGTGAGTTATATTGAACATTTTATCATATTAGGAAATATTGATCCTTAATTTATGAAGCCTTCTAAAATTTATCGTTGTTTATAATGGTTCAGCCTTAAATACTTTAAAATAATTAGCTTAAGATATCGTAATTATTTAGTTCCACCTCAAGAAATTTTTTGATGTTTTGTATCTGAATTTAGGAAATTTAAATTGAGTTTATTGTATTTAGGATTTAATTTTAAAAAATTTGTAAAATATTTCATTCTAAAATTTTAGTAAAATTAAAACACTAACTTCATTGTAATGGATTAATTTTCTGGAAATTGGAATTTCTCGAGAGTTAAAGATACTTCAAGACTAATATCAGTATTTTATAAATGATATTCCAACATGACTGCTTTATTTCTTTAAAATAAAAAAATTTAAAGCCCAAATTTGATCAAGAAATAATTTCTTATATTCTAATAAATTAATGATTCCAGTAAACTCATATATTGATTGTGAGGTTACGCCCATGAACTAGGTTGACAGTATTTAGCCACTTCAGGAGTTATGTCTTGAATTTAATCTTGACCCAGCCACCCTGTTGTAATTTCACTTTTAAAGTTTTACCAAACATGTACCAATATTAGTAGGTTTTTAACATTAAATTACGTACAGATTGTCTAATCAATACATAACATTAGCATATGACATTTATTGTACTATCTATGATTCTCTTGGGGTGTTAAATTTCTTAAAATTTCAATTTTGGATGGGAGCCTATTATTTTTTATTAAATTTTTTGAAAAATTTAGTGAATGCTTATCCGTTGTACCATGAATTTTTCAAAAACAAAATTAAGGATTTAGACAGCATAAGTTTTTAAAATAAGCGATATTAGGTGGTTGTTAAGGTTTTAGTTAGTTGTTGCTGTATGCAACTTTTTAATAGTAAAACTTTTTTAATAAAAATTTTACCTGTTAAGTTATTAAATCCAATTTTTATTTTTATATAAATTAAGTGCTGATAAAATCATTGGAACTCCTATGGTTTTGTGATATACTGTCTATATATTTATAATATTCATAATATTAATCTTAAAGATGTTTATATTAATATCTTTTAGCTGTTATCCACTAGTTGTTACTTGGCCAATGATTTTTTCTTATTTTGTAGGAACTATATTACTAACTGGCCAATGAATTTTTCTTGTTTTGTAGGAACTACTTTATTACTAACTGTATTACGTTTATAACTTTGCTGTTTTTATTTTATTTTATGTATTAAAATTTCATTTTGATTTTTAATCCATTGAAATATTAAAGTTGTATTTCCAGTCTGTATAGAATGAGAGCATCTCACTTTTTCTTGAATGTTAATCATTGACATTAAGTTGTAGTTAATCATTATATTCCTTAAAGCATACTAAGTTCAGCAATTCGTGGCCCTATTTTTATCTTAAAGTTGCTAAACAAATTTATATTTTTTGGTGTTTCATTTTGTTCCCATGTTGCCTTAAAGTAGTCTTAATTAATTTTAGAAAGTTCTTATGTGATATTTTGAAAATTCCTATGATTTTCTGAATGTCATGATTTAGTGAGTATCTATAGTGTAGAATATTAGTTAAGTTAATATTTTAAATAAAAGTTAAAACTGACTCTATATTCTTATATATTTACTACATATTTTTACAGAATGAACTTGTACTGATATAGCAGTTTTTTTATTGGAACTGTTTTTGTTCATAGGGTGTCATGGTTGGTATGGGCCAAAAGGACAGCTATGTTGGAGACGAAGCCCAGAGCAAGAGAGGTATCTTAACCTTAAAATACCCAATTGAACACGGTATTGTAACTAACTGGGATGATATGGAAAAAATTTGGCATCACACTTTCTACAATGAACTTCGAGTTGCGCCAGAAGAGCACCCAGTTCTCCTGACTGAAGCACCTTTGAACCCCAAAGCAAATAGGGAAAAAATGACACAGGTACTTCACTAGTTTTTTTAATATTTTAATTTAATTAAGTTTTATTGTAATTCTATGTATTAAATTGATTTTTTCTTGATTGTTTTCAGATCATGTTTGAAACATTCAACACTCCAGCTATGTATGTTGCCATTCAAGCTGTTCTGTCCCTGTATGCATCTGGACGTACCACCGGTATTGTTCTGGATTCTGGAGATGGTGTCTCACACACTGTACCAATTTATGAAGGTTATGCTCTACCTCATGCCATCCTTAGGTTGGATTTAGCTGGACGTGACCTCACTGATTACCTCATGAAGATCCTGACTGAAAGGGGATACTCCTTCACGACTACTGCTGAGAGAGAAATTGTGAGGGATATCAAGGAAAAATTGTGTTATGTTGCTCTTGACTTTGAGCAGGAAATGGCCACTGCTGCCAGTTCAAGTTCCCTAGAAAAATCTTATGAACTTCCTGATGGACAAGTTATCACAATTGGAAATGAAAGGTTCCGATGCCCTGAAGCTCTGTTCCAGCCTTCTTTCTTGGGTATGGAGGCATGTGGTATCCATGAGACCACTTACAACTCAATCATGAAATGTGATGTCGACATTAGGAAGGACTTGTATGCCAATACTGTTCTCTCTGGAGGTACTACCATGTACCCTGGTATTGCTGATAGGATGCAAAAGGAAATCACTGCCCTTGCTCCTTCTACAATGAAAATTAAGATCATTGCTCCACCAGAAAGGAAGTACTCAGTATGGATCGGTGGATCAATCCTTGCCTCCCTTTCTACCTTCCAGCAAATGTGGATTTCTAAGCAGGAATATGACGAATCTGGCCCATCTATTGTTCACAGGAAATGTTTCTAAAGCGGCTGTCATCATTTGTCATGCCTACTTTTCCTTCCTTTGTATGCTCCTTCTGGAGACCTGCTTATTCTTTTGTATTATAATGTTTATTATATTTGTTTATTATTTTAATTATCATTTCATTAAGTTTTTGAACACACTTCTTAACTCTCACTTGAAAATTGGAAGTTTAGAAATGTGTCAAATTCTTTCTCTTCCATTATTTAATTATTTAAAATATCATTTGATTTATTTCAATCTCATTCCATGTTAATTCTCTCCCTCCCATGTTAAGTCCTCCCCTGACCTCCCCCTCCCTCCCCACCCTAATTTTGTAATTGAAGGGGTTTATTTTTTCAGTCATTTTCTATTGTACTAGTTATCTTTATAAAAAAAAAATATTTTATATATATATATTTAAAAAAAAAAGACACTTTGCATTCCAATTTTTTCCATGTGGCTCGTCATATGCTTAATTTTCTAAGTTTGCTACTTTAAAAGGAAGTTTTATACAGTGTAGGTTTGTCTTTTTTTGTATCAAAATCATGTCATCTGTTGGTTCCTGTAATGTATTTTTGAGCCAGTGAAATAATGACACCTATGCATGCACTAGGCCAAAGTATTATTTATTCCCATCTGCAGAACTGGAAATTTTAGAATTATGGGAAAAATAAATCGTAAATTCTAAAACTGTATTTTTATTTTATTTTTTTACCCTATTCCCCATCTATATTATTAAGGTTATTTTAATATGAACTTGTAGCAAGATAGTGAATATGTCACTAAATGCTAAATTATCAAATTTATTAACATTGCACCAATAGCAGAATATTTTTTTATATAACAAAAGATTATCAAATGTAATAATAAAATTATTGTGGGAGCGGGTTTATAAGTATGAGGAAAACTTAGTAATAGTTGATTATTCATGAAGTGATATATATTAACTTTGATTCAGATTTTTAACCTTGTTTTGAAATATAAAAGAAACTAAAAGTCCTAACAAAGTTTAATGTTAATAGAATTATTTTCATATCTAATCTAAGCAGCTTCTGAAATAGTCTTCTCAACTTAAATTAATAAATTAAAGATTTATTTAATTTCACAAAATTTCTGAATTGTTTTTCCAGTCATGTCTTGAAAATAAATTTGAATTTATTAGTGTTGGCACAAACATTTTCTGTATACTTTTAGTACGAAATATTAGGCTATTTTTGTTAAGTTACATTCGGATTCAGCAACTCTATAAACTCATACTAATATTTTTAGAAATTGAAACATTTCCCACTTGCTGGTATGTTTTGATACATTGATTGAAAGAAAAACAATTCTTTTCTACACATTTTTTGAAATTTAAATATTGCTTATTATTTTTCAAAGAATTCTTATATATTATTTCTAAGAGATGTTTTTTGCCTGTATGCCATAACTTCATCAAATCCTATGATTGACCACTCATTTTGAAGATATTCTCACATGTGAAAAATAGTCCTATCCCCCTGGAATTTCTGTAAAAAAAGTTATGAAGGAAAAGAAACATTTGCGAATTACTCAAAAAGTATGCATTTTTTTCTGGATTGTACCCATGATAATTAAAACGGTTATTAAATTACATAAAAAAAAAGGAGGACAATTATTAACAAAGATATTGTCCATTAGTTTTGGTATACTTAATGTCTACCTGTTTAAAGATATTGCATTTAGGAGTAGAATAGTCTAATATACTTTTTTCCCTGGCTGATAATATATTAACTTTATTATTTCTTAAAGACATTTGGTTGTTTTTAAATTATTTTTTTTTTTAATCATTTAGAAAATCCCATGATCGGGCCATTATTTTGTCTTTATTATCTTTTCAGTCAGCATTTAAAAATAGGTCTTAGCAAAACAATTTGTACAAATATTTTTGTCTATTATGTTTAATGGAATATTGTAATTGACGAAGGAAAATATATTAAATCCTTCCTTTTACATAATAAATAAGAACTACTTTTTTCCATATTGTTTTGCTATTTCTTCACTAAACAAAATTTTCTGTGAATTATTCCCTCATGCCAACTAGTATTTATTTTTGACATATTGAGTTGGGGATATTTGTGACATATTTCATATATCAAAAAAAATATTTACATTTTTGAAATAAAAATGTATATAAAAAAGAATATTCACACATCATATTTTATTCTTAAGTATTTATTTATTTTTATCAGAATCTTTCAACTGATGTTTTGAAAGCATTATTCTTTTTTTATTAGTCCCATTTCAAGTCGAATGGTAAGTTTTTCCCCCCATTCTTCCAACAAATTAGTTTTAAGATGTACTGACATATTTTCATTTCTGAATTGTGAATCTACATGTGGCCATAAATGTTCAATGGGATTTAAATCTGGACCCTGGGTAGTTTTTTTATTAAGATCTTTACATCAGACATTGCCTGGTGTCAAGGATTATTATTCTGATTAAATTTAGATGTTCATATCTACCTTAGCCATTACCACCCATGAAATTTTATTTTAAATTCATACCTATCTTTCATTCTATCGATGACAAATTTTCATTGTAACAGACAAATTTTTCACCTCAAATTAATTTCTAGCTTTTCTCCACACAATCAAAATTAAACTTGTTCAATCTAGATATCTTACAACATTCCAATAAACTTTAAATAACCTTTGGTAAAAAATAATCATTTTCATATTCATTAAATTTATGAGAATTATGCAATTATTTACACATTATAGGAGTTTCAAATTCGACCCAATGTGAAAACTGTGTAAATCGTGAAACACTACATGGTATTGTTATGAAATGTGGGGCTTACGAATTTCACAGAAGAAAACTTTTCCAAGATTAGCAGCATGGTAAAATATGTTAAAGCAGTTAGGAAGAAATGTAATTAGTTTAAAATGCACTAAAAACTTCAACTTAAATATCTAGCTGGCTGTATGGATTTCTCTGTCATTAAAAAAAAGTTTAAGTTTATGAGAGTTATTTTTCTATTCACTCTGACTTAAAATCCATATCCTTTTAATATTTTCTGAATCATATCTAGTCCAGCTTGTTTTCCTAATTGAGGCGTTGACATGGAATCTTTTTTAATAGTAGGGTAAATGCATCGTAACTTAATTGTGTTTATTAGCTTAAATAAATTCAATGAATAATAGAACCTGCTTTTGGAAATAGGAAACCCCATTTTTTAGACTCGTCATTTTCAGTAAATCTCTTTGAATTTATGAGAGTACAGGTCTGTCAGCTACTGGCAAAAGACCCCGTTATAAGGCTTCAGTAGCTGACACCCATTTAATTTCCAATTCATTCATCAAGATAAGTTAAAAACAGATAAAACAATATCTAAAAACGCTCCAAGAAACAATAAAACAAAAATTTTGGATTAATCAAAGTATTTAAAGAGAAACAGACAAACCTAAGGTATGGTGTTCTTACTGATAGATGGTTGCTCCTGGAACAGTAAAGGAACGTCCTAATTTGCCAATCATTATTTCGGTTAAGATTTCCGACAAGACTAAAGCATATGAATATACAAGGAGAAAATATATGAAAAAGAGGTCCAGGTGGACATTAGGTATTGATACACTGTCAGCTACTGGTGGTTTCACCCTATGTCAAAAAAATCATTTTTCAGTTTGTCATACAAAAGATAGCAATTAGTAATGGGAATGGTATAGAAAGAGGAGTTTATCAAAACTGGGAGTCATTTTGTTTCTACAAACGATTTTTTTATTTATTTATTGAGCAATATAATATTCTGCCACTTGGATAATAATTATAATGAGGTAAAACTACATCCACAATATATATACTCATAATGTAAAATAAACAGAAGCAAAATAATAACCAAAAAGATCAATGTTTGAAAAAAGTATCAAAACGGTTTTTCACTTCTTCTGAAAAATAACATTTTCATGACTTTTATTTCTGGTATTATTTTTATAGACCCTTAAGATTAGTTGGCTAAAATGGGTAGGGAACTGACAACAATTTTACCAGGATGTGGGGATCTTCAGGATAAGGGTTATTATATAATATATATTATAAATTATAAAATATGGATTTGTATGAATATTTTTTCTACTGTATTTATAATATATGTATTTATTGTTAGGCAAATATTTTTGGAAAAAATAAGAAAAGCTTGATTTTAAGTCAATAAAACTAATATATTATTAATTATAAAGTATGGATTTGTATAACTTTTGGTATATAAAATTCTTATTTTAAAGTTAAATCTTTATTTGTAATGTATGTATTTATTGTTAGGCCAATATTTTTCAAAAAAATTATAAGAGAGGTGTTGAAGCTATATTCAAATAATCAAGTAAAAAATATATGAATGAATGGTTTTTATTGATTTTTTTTTTAATTGTCAACCAATGTGTGTATGTAATGTTTAGAGCTGGTCACAGTATGTTATACCAAATTCGATTGTTTTGATGCCATTGGAAAGATGAATTTCTCTTTCTGGCACTGAGTAATGATAGTAATAATACATTTGCTTGATTCCAATAAAACATCCATATATAATTTTTATACCAAATTCCAATATTATTGCAGATTACCATGTTTGGTACATATTAACGTCATTTTGTTACCATAAAAAATTTAATTTTCTGTTTATATAAGGTAGCTCTTTACCTCATTGATGCAGTTTGATAGAACTTAAGTAAATGCAAAATTTTCAAAATGTTTTCCTCTAAAGTACCGTTTAATTGAAATAAATAAAAGTCTCTTGTGGGCAGTAGTAATAAGAAAATGCTAAATTTATTTCTCACTCTCTCACAGAACAAAATTCACAGTGTAAGAGAAATTCATAAAATCTGTCGTCACCAATGGATCTGAGACTTGGTAGAGAAGAGTTCTCCGCAGGATCTACAGTCAGGTGTGTAACCATGAGCATTGGAGAATTCACACCAATAAAGAGTTATGTGGGGTCTATGCAAGGCCGGATTTGGTCTCAATAGTTTGGAGTAATCAAATCAGATGGTTGGGTTATGTGGCAGAAATGTCCAGAGGTTCAACTCCCAAATGTCTGCTGGAGGATCAACCTAGTGGAAAATGTGGCAGAGGCAGAGCAAAATAAATTATTTTTCTCTATTATATTATATTATATTATATATATATATATATATATATATATATATATATATTATATATATATATATATATATATATATATATATAAAAACATTCAAAGGTACATTCTTCTTAAATATCTTCAATTTTAGAAAGGTCATTTCAAAATTTTGGTCAAATCTATGTCATTGAGCAATAATTGGGTCAAATCACAACTGAAAGCAGTTAGGTATTTTTTTTTTTCATGATCTAAAATGATAATTTTAGAAGTATACTTTCCATCCAATTTTTTGGACAAATTTGTAATTACATGACTCCATATTAAATGTATAAAATGCTGATGTCTTACTCTCTTGTGCTGTAACAATCCAGAGGTACCAATATAGCAAGGTGTACATACTATTTTATTTTATTTTTTTAAATTTAAGGTTAATGATGGCTAATCACAATATTCACATTTAAAATAATGTTAATTAATGCAAGTTTACAAATGCTGTAGGCCTGATTCAACACAGTACAGGACGGCGTCCAATAGAGTAAAGGGGTACACTCATGCAGGGAATAAAAAAAAATTATGTGGATGGTATAGAAAGCAATAACCCCCAATCATCAGATTAATACTTGTACGATTTATTGAGCTTTCTCATCAGCCATTTTTGAGTAAATTAACTATGAAAAATTGTAGAGCCAAGATATTCTCTGACTTCTTCACAAAATACTGTGGGTTGTGGAGATAAGGTGAGGACAGAAACAGCCTTGCTCTCTCAGTTCATGTGGTTATGATTGTACTTAATGAATTGATACAGTCGACTTTATTCATACTAGTATTTATTAAATTTTAAATTATTTTAACATGGTGGTTTCAATTTTCCATCCATCCTTTCGACTAATTCATACATACATTAGTGGAGCGACATCCCATCAACGAGACTGGACCTCCTTCAAAAGTCTCTGCCAGTTTGTTGGTCGTTTGCTGCAGCTCTGCAGTTTCGGACTTCAAGAAGACCATCCATCAAAGGTTGTCATCCAACTCGCCGTTTTCCGTGGATCTCTTCAGTGAGGATCATTTTCGGAATCTCGTTGGTAGCCATCATTTGCACATGTCCTGTCCATCGAAGTCGTCCGAGCTTCAAGAACTTGACTATGCCAACATCGTTAAATAGTCTCGTTAGTTCGGCATTCCTCCATCTTCTCCGGAAATAGTCCTGTCTAACAGGACGGAATCCGTCTAAGAATGCTCCTCTCGAAGACAAGCAGCCTGGATTCATCCGCCTACGTGAACGCCCAAGCCTCTGAGACATAAGTGACGACTGGGTGGACCAGGGTCTGGACTTCTAGCATTCTATGTCTACTTCAGTCTTAGAGCATTCTCCTTCTAAAATATTCGGCAAGGCCAACGGTTAGCTGCTGCAATCTTCCTGTTTATTTCCTGGGAAATGTCATTTTGGGAGTTGATGATCCCAAGAGAAGAAAGTTTGATCGAAAGTTGAAAAATTACGCACTACATGGTAGCTTTTACAATTATATATCCAATCTGGAATATACAGGGATGCTTCTATTAATTGGCTTAAAAAAAACGTACCTATTTTCCAAAACTGAAGGATTTATTTTAGCAATTCAGTGAAGTTTCCACGAATGGTTATAGGAAATATATATGCGGAGAATATATATAAGTGACCGATGTAGCCTATGTAAAAATGCAAACGAATCAATCCAGCACATATCATCAGAATGTCAAGCCCGCCAATAAGGAATACGTAAGGAGGTACATTAACCTGGCCAAAATTGATGATAATGATATATTATATGAAATGATTATTGACAACATTCATTATAATTGGTATGGGCCCCAACAGGTACTATCTGGTAAAAATAGAACAATATATTGGAATTGTTCAATAATTAATAAGTAGTAAATAATAAACCTAATATAGTTCACTGATAATTATTCGAAATACAAAAAGTGGGTAAGTCATATTGTGGTCCCTACCGAAGATAATGTCGGAAAGACGATCTCTGAAAAGATTATAGAGTATCAAGACTTGTGCCAGGAACTTAGGCAATCTATAGACTGTATCATATACAGTTATTTCCGGGAATAATCTCCAGCAATGACCCCATTCCAGATGATACCATCCTCTCTATTGAGAATTTGAATCTACCAGAAAACGTATTGGAGTTAGGGCAGAAAGAAATTCTTGGCACGGCGGATATCGTCGGGAAAATTGTAAAGATAATCTAACATTGGAGCCTAAACCTTGACCTCGGTCCGGTGAATATTTCTGGGGAAAGCCAAAAAAGTGCGAAATTCTAAAATAATAATAAATAAGTGGAACATAGGATAATAATTTAATATGGGAAACACTTGAAATATAAGAAAACGGGATTTAATAAAAAATGCTATTAAATAAACAAGGAGAGGAAGAGGTGGTTGGAAAGGAGTGATTTGAACAAGGAGACCAATGAACCATGACAAATGGTGTGTTCCAGAGGGAGGCAGCTCGAGTTAGGAAGGAGTTATCAAACGCAATAGTCCAATGGGGAAGAGGATAGAATAGAAGTCAGGAGGGATAGATCGGGTGGGGCGGGATTGGATGGAAAATTTAAATTTAAATTTCAGGCTCTGAAGTAGGTAGGATGGGCGCTGAGTTTTGATAACTTGGTAAAAGGAGGACGCAATTAAATACTTAAATTGAATTGAGGTATAAAGTGCTGGTTGATAAGGTAAGCATGATTAGCGGACCATAAATAATACCTATTTAAAATCACTGAGTTTAGAATACCCCGTGACTTTGTTTCTTCAATTGTCAGATATATTATTGGTTTTGTTTAACGAAGAGATTTCTTCCAATAAAAATTACATTATATTTCTTTTCAAATAAGATAAAGGAAAACAATTGAGCGCAGTTATCATCTGAGGGCAAGCAAAAGAAACTAGTTGAGCAAAAAAGATCATAGAGCGAAGTGCAGTCAGCAACATTTCAGGAGGAAGTATGAGATCTGTAAAGAGCTTTATATTTGGGGTTTCTTTCTTCATGTATCATGAAGATGAGTTATTAGTATCTTGTCACATCCAAGCAGAGAGATACTAATGGGAACGAGGAAAGAGAATGAGAGACCGTATCAACAGAATTAACCCACAAGGTAAATTCAAGCGTTACCCCATGTGTGCTTTAAATCAAAGTATTTCTGATAAAATACATGTTTATATGATATAATTTATGTCTAAAATATTATAAATACATAAAAACTATCAAATTATTTGTTTTATTACTTTCAAAGTTATTTGTATGTTTTGATTTGTTCACAAGTTATTCTCTAAAACGTTTGACCCTGATGTGGGCTTGTAAAGACGAATCATATGGGGCTATAACTTGAGGATAGTCATTTTCATTTCCTCCGAAAACTCCAGCGTATTTCAGAAGACCATCAACATCCTGAAACGAATGAACAATTGTTGATTATCGAATAATGGATTATAAATCACAGTTTACTTCTAATTGACAATCTTTCCTATAATCCAATTGAAAATATTTCATTGACATTAATGATTGAAAATAATCGTATTCTATAAAAAGTTATCTTAAAATTCTTTACATAGTTTACACAGTGCATAAAATATGGACAATAATAAAAATAATAATAATTTTAAACAACTTGTTGATTTTTTAATTCTTACTAAACAAATTTTGTTCAAGAGATTGGATTGACGAAGTAAATTGATAAACTTTTCCTTGGCCTTTTTGAAAGAATTACAAATAAATAACTTCATAAAAATATTTTAATAAAATACTTATCTTTAAATGAAATTGTTTTAAAAGCTCTCATTTCTACAAATTTTACATTCAGGAACAACTTACTCCATATTAGTTAATTACTAATATCCTATTGTTACTTACATTTTCGGAAACTAAGTCGGCTTTAGGATCAGAATCACCAATTTTCTGAAATTCTGAAACATTAAACAAATAAATTATATATCAAAAAGACAAGGCTAATGGCTTTATATTGCCATTCATAAAGAAATAATGCAACCTGACATAGTTATATACCAGGACTCAATAAAACATACATGTAAGGAATACAATCCAAAGATTCCAGTTAGCTCTATCTTTTTATATTTGGTTTAAAATTTTAATGTACTTCAGCTATGACAAGTAATGAACCAATTTTCCTAGTGTGAATAATTTTGAATTGTTTGTATCATCTTTAGAGGATCAAACTGGTAAAATATTGGTTATTGAAATCGTTATCGAATAAAAATTATTGTAAGAAAAAGAGTCCGTGTGGTACCGAGACTATTGCGAAGCAATAACCTAGGCGTACCTAAATAATGAACACAAAAATACGGTTACTTGGAGGTGACAGTGTTTATAAAGTGCATTAGAAACGGAAGCTAGCAGAAGTGCAAAAAATACATTATAATTAAATTTTAACCTAGCACACATATCAATATAATCTCGTCTTGACCATCGTGCCTTTCTAAGACAATGTCAATTTTCGATCAACTATAAACCACGAATATCAAACTGAAGCAAAAGCTCCGCCCTTTAATACTTGAGATAAAATGCTGAGATTTTTTCAACACATTAAATGATTAAAAATATTAGTTTTATAATAAATAAAATATCATTACCATCAGAAACGTCCGGAGGTGGCATTCCCTGAGCTAAAATTTTACTCCCGTTGAATATTAAAAGTAGAGCTACTAATGGAAACATATGAATATTAATCATATTGCTTTCTTACATTTCTCTATAAAGTTCTACTCAGTAAAGCATAGGTACTACGTTACAAGATAACTGTTTGTACACATGGAAATAGTTTTTTACATCTGACCAGAGTTGGTTTGTAAATTTATATATTTAATTTAGGCCGTGGTTACACTGGACACGTAAATCATTACCATGGTAACGTCACGTCTCGGATTTTTAATTCATTCATTATTTCATGTATAAGCTTGTCCAATATACGTACTAAATAATAGTTTCATCAAAATTGTTGTTTCATGTTTTCCTATCAATAAATATTAATTTCAAGATTATTTATTCCATAGATAATCCAAAATTAATTCAAATTCAGTATAAAAATAACAGAATAATAAAAATAAATTTCTTTAATGAAAATGAAAATATTTAGCCACTTTTAATACAATAGAATAAATATTAAGTAAATAGAATTGAACATTAAGAATATTATATTTTTGTTTTAATACTTCAAAGAAAAAATAAAACAAACTTTATATATTACTAGCTTTACTCGGCCAACCGCAGGCTGTGGCTTAGCCTGGCAAAATAGAAAAGAAAGAAAATAGAAAGCACATATGAGTGGATTAATACCAAAGGACATCTGTTATTTTTTAAAAAATAGGGAAACAAATTTGTCTGTAAAATGGTTTCCATTTAAACTAATTCTAATGATTTTTTTTTTCATGATTCAACTTGAACATTCGTAATCATCTGAGTGAATAAGCCGACATTCTTAATCATCAGAAACAGCCTGAGTTGAACTTATAAAACTAAAATTGACTTTATCTCCGTTTTCTGAAAATGACAGAAATCCGTCCTTTAATATCAAGCCACTCATATATTTTCATATTTAATTTTATTATATTTAATGTATTGTTTAATGTTCAACTTTGTGTTGATCATTTTATGCAAATAAAAATGTAAATGTTTGGTTGTTTAAACTCTTAAATCTCAGAAAGTTCTTCATCCTTGATATTTTCATGCCTTTCATTTTGATTGATATTCATGCCTTGATACTTTGGCTTAACGTTGCATTTAAATACGCGCGTGGTTTAATATATCTACCATTATAAAATATAAGGTAAAAGTATACATATTTATTAAAAACGCACTATCAGTTGGATGTAAAAGCAACACATGCGGTTCACAATATTTTACGATACTGTTTCAATGTTAAAGATTTTCAAATGTCAATCTTGGCAATGCATTGAAATTTTCAGCTTTTTTTCGGGAAAGTACGTTATACACACAAATTAAAAGGGTTTCAAGAGGAAGACTTTAGCCAAATTTCGTTAAAGACATTTTGGCGTTACAGTGTATAGCGACACATTTTTTTGCGGCTTTGAACAAAAAAACATTTACATTTTAATTTTTTTACATATATAAAATTACCGTAAGACAGAGGTACTATGCTAGAAACCTTCACAGGAGTGTATGGAACAACTCAATGTTTCATGAAGATCGGATGAATGGTTTGGTAATGCATAAAGGAACACGGGCGGATCTACAGTGGGGGGAGGGAGCTTTCGGGCTGAAGCCTCCCTCCCCTTCCAAAATGGTAAAATATAACCATGTTTAATGGAAAAAAAGGTAAAAAAATTATCTCTTAAAGTAGTATTGTTCGTTAAAGTATTATTGTAATTACATTTAAAAGGACTTAAGGAATTACTTAAACACCATTTCATGTAGATAGCTAGTTTCTTTCTTTTTTTCCAAAGTAAATATCGTCATTTTTATGAAAAAAATAGCTTTCGGGCTGAAGCCCGCCCAAAATTAAATCCTGGATATAGATAAGGATTATGCTTACTACTATAATTTTAATATATCATCTAAAATTAAATAACTTATATATGTATCTGGTAACGTATACTAATTCCAATCACTTTCTAGTTCTATTGCTGACTGCACTATTTAATTATCATGTTTATTAAAAAAAATGAGATTCTTTATTGGTAAAATGAGATTTTTAATTTGTTAAATATGAATTACATGTAACTTAAAGTAATAAGTAGAATCCAAATAATATTTAATTAAATTATAGAATGAAAGTGATGATGAGCTAGATAAGTTATTATTATTATTATTAACCAAACACAAAATGTAGAACTTAGGATCAAATTTATAATCTGCACATTTCTTTGTAATGAGCAAATTTTTTGGCAGCTTCGCAGCTTCCTATCACGTCCTGGATATTGGATAGACTTGCTGGAGGGAGGGAACCTCCTGACTTGCTGGAGGCAGGGGCCGACCAGACTTGCTGGAGGGTGTGACGTAGGATTGAACGCCCTACTCACATATCTTTAGTTCACCATACACCACAAATAATCATGGATTTCCCTAAAGTAAAACGCTCATTATCCGGAGGTAAACTAGTCCCCCATTCGGGTCTCCGGGTGGGGACTGCTTTAGGAGATTCATGGCGCAAGTTGAAAAATTGGGATTTAAATATTAGTACGTGGAACGTTAGGAGTTAAAATCGGGAAACAGTAAGGGGAGTTAAAATCGGTCGCAAATGAGTTTAATGGGTACAATTTGGATGTCATGGCTCTGCAAGAGATTCGCTGGCCAGGGGAGAGTTCGATGAGAGAAGGAAAGTACACTATCCGACACGGAGGAAGCGGGAATCATTGTTCAGGTACTGGGTTTCTAATTAGGAATAGATTGCTATCTGCTTTGAGGACGTACAATTCTTTAGTGATGGAATTTCGGTAGCTATATTTCAGGGACATACATTGTCCGACCGAAGACAATTTTACGATAAACTCGAATGGGTTTACGATAAACACAGAGGTGAGAAGGGAAGAATTTTATGTTCCGACGATTGGTAAAGAAAGTTTGCACGAATATAGTAATGATCATAGGATCCGTCTGATAAACTTTGCCATTTCGAAAAACCTGGTAATTAATAGTACTACGTTTAAACATAAGGACATTCATAAATATACTTGGACATCACCGGATTCGTAAACACGAAATCAAATCGATCATGTCTTGATACAACATAGCTGGCAAAACAGTATAATTAATGTACGGTCTTATCGAATTAGTAATCACAAAACTTAGATAAAAACTTAATACGAAAAGAGAAAAGAAAACCGTTTTGATTTTGAGAAATTTAATTTGGAAAAATTAAAAAATCCATCAATTAGAACATAATTCGATCTAGATGTTAAGAATAGGTTTGAAGCTTTAGAACTTTCTGAAGAGGACCACGAGGACAGTGACAAGTTATGGGTAGAGATGAGGGATAATACTAAAGCGGTAACTCGTATCTAGGAAATCAGGAAAATAAGAATAACAAACCACTCGAAATAATCCTAATGAAGGCAATCTGGAATACTTCCGAACCTCAAAGATTGAAACGACAAAATTGTTTAAAAATAAAAAAGGGAGTATTTTAAAAATAAAATAATTGAAATAGAAACTAATAGAATCAAAAATAACGCAAGAGACATGTACAAAGGTATTAACAGACCATGTCAATGTTTAGGAGCCATCACGTCTGGAATTAGAGATGAAAATAACAATATTCTGACCGATCCGGTAGACATATTAAATAAGTTAAAGAGCCACTTTGACAGTATTTTAAATACTTTGTTTGGTTAAAATGATCTGAGAGAACGAGAAATTACCTGAAGAATGGAAAGAATCTATTCTTATTCAGATTCACAAAAAGGGACCGAAGACGGATTGTAATAACTATCGAGGAATTTCACTCCTTCCGGTATGTTGTAAAATATTCACTTTAATCTTAACTAGAAGAATCACGGAATACGCCGAGGAAATTATCGGAGACTACCAATGCGGATTTAGACGGAATCGTTCGACTATTGATCAAATATTTTCTTTATGGCAAATATTAGAGAAAAAAATAGAGTACAATGGTATTGTTCACCAGCTGTATATCGATTTCAAAAAGGCTTACGATTCTATTGGCCGCCAGAAACTGTATAATATTCTAATCGAGCATGGGATTCCAAAAAAACTAATAATTCTAGTCAGGAAGTGGTTGATGGAAACACTCAATAAAGTTAGAATCCGATTACAATTTGTCCGAAAAATTTGAGGTTTGTTCGGGTTTAAGAACAGGGGAATTCCCTTTCGCCTGTCCTGTTCAATTTGGCATTAGAACATGCCATTCGGGAGGTAATGCGTACCGAAAAAGGGTTGAATCTGGGTGGGATAACACCCGTGCTGGGCTATACGGATGATTTGATACTGTTAAGCGAAGACGTGGAAACTATAAAACTAAATACTACAACGTTAATCAATGCCAGTAAACAACTAGGGCTCGAAACGGGGTGGCCGAATGGGCTAAAGCGTGTGCACTGCACCGCCGTTGCCCGGCAACCTGACATATGAATCAAAGATATAAAAATAGTCACGAGTTCGCGGCCCGGTGCCGAGGGAGTCTTTTAAATCCCCGCCCACAACCCCTGGCCCGAAAAAAAAAACAAAAAAAAAAACGAAGCGAAGGTGGGAAGATTGCATTAAAGCCGATCTGAAGGGACTAGGTCTGGACGGCGAACAGTGGAGGGCTGTGCGTAATAGGCGATTGGTGGTTTCGGCATCGAACCTTCAGGTTCGCTAAGCCTTTTATTATTATTATTAGAGATATTTGAGGACAGATATCTAGGAAACTAAGCAGAGAAGCAAATAAAGTTATATAATCATTCATGCTGCAATTTTTATCAGCATTAATTCAGTATAGAAAGTCTTTGGATAGTTGAGATGGATAGTTTTTCTGATATAAGCGAAAATTCGAAAAAAGTGACCTTTTGTAAGCCATAAAAAATTAACTATTCGAATACAGCAAAAAAATTAGATAAAATTTGTTTTTCTTCAAAATTATCGATAGTTAAGGGCGGATATCTCGGAAATTAAGCGAGCGAGCGAAAAAATGTTATATAACCATTAATATCAAAACATTTTATAAGCATTAATTTTGTATAGAACATCCTTGTAGCTACAATGGACAGTTTTCCAGA